CCTGACTCAATAGCCATGGTGAGATGGGCTCTGTCCTGACTCAATAGCCATGGTGAGATGACTGTCCTGACTCAATAGCCATGGTGAGATGGACTCTGCCCTGACTCAATAGCCATGGTGAGATGGGCTCTGTCCTGACTCAATAGCCATGGTGAAATGGGCTCTGTCCTGACTCAATAGCCTTGGTGAAATGGACTCTGCCCTGACTCAATAGCCATGGTGAGATGGGCTCTGTCCTGACTCAATATCCATGGTGAGATGGACTCTGTCCTGACTCAATAGCCATGGTGAAATGGACTCTGTCCTGACTCAATAGCCTTGGTGAAATGGGCTCTATCCAGGAAGGCATCTATTCTTGGGGAGGAGGTCGACACCCTGTAAAATGCCTCAACAAAGTCAAAAGACTACAGCCAACTTGGGCTGGGGATTAAACACAATCTGTCTACAAGACAAATGTCAGGGTAGTCTAATGTTACACCATCTAAAAGAAAAAAATCCAGTAGTCTAATGTTATAATGTCTACAAGAAAAATATCCAGTAGTCTAATTTTAGACTGTCTACAAGAAAAATATCCAGTAGTCTGTTATAAGTTCAGTCACAGCTCACAGAATAAATCAGGGTGTAAAAAATATTATGAGAAATAGCAAGGCAAACATGAGATATGGTTTATTAACTAAATATTCATGTTTTATAACAAAAACGTCATTGGCAAGATTTAAAAATGTCAGACTCGTGAGAAATATAAAAGCTGCTGTCGATTAAGTAAGTGCTAATATATTGCTTCCTTTAACAAAACAACAATTTCAGAGAGTTATCGCTGGTGACAATTTCAGCTGGACAAGCACAATAATTGGCCCCTGCTGGGTGTTGATCTCCAACCGACACTCTTATCCTTAAGGAATGTTTAAAGTAACTTTGCATTAAGTGAATTGTAAAAAAAAAAGTTTGTAAGTTTATCTTATCAATAGTTTAAGATTTTAAAATTAATATTCTGCTAAATGTTTTTTAAAATAAAAATTTAAGGTTTGCAATTTTAAAACAAAGTCATAAAAAAAGCATTTAAAACAACATTTTTTTCAGCAATTAAATTATAGAAAATAAAATATTTACAGCCATACAATCACACACAAAATTTAACACACTGTTCATTTAATCATTTAAAAATTTGGTTCTGAGATGGAGAAACCTCCTTGGTTTAGAAATGTATATATTTTTTTAATCATGTTAATATTTGGTTTAAAGATTGTAGAAACCTCCTTGGTTTAGAAATTTATATATTTTTTAATCATGTAAATATTTGGTTTAAAGATTGTAGAAACCCCTTGGTTTGGCAATAATTTGTTTTGTTTTTTTAACCAGCCAAATGAATGAGGCAACCATAACATTGATGGCATTTAACTATTGTGGACCGGATATGGATAGTTGTGTCCGTAACTGTGAGATTGGATACAAAAGGTCCATCATTTGTCAACATAAAATATGTCAGAGAATTTTTAGAGAACTTCACTTCTATTAACAAAATTCTACTGATACAATAGTAAATGGATGATTGAATGAACAAAAATTGAACAGGATGATTCAATGAACTGGATGTACAGTAAACTGAATGACTTTTTGTTGTCCACACATTTTCTTCATTTTAAGAACCATTTGATTCTGGAGGGTAGATAGTATGGGTCATCTGAACTCAGTCATCCAATAGCTTTTGTACTACAACAGAAAACTGAAGTACTGGTACCCATTTTAGTACTGGTACCCATCTAGGTACTGGTACCCATTTGAGCATTGGTACCCATCTAAGTACTGGTACCCAAATAGGTACTGGTACCCATTTAGGTACTGCTATCCATTTAGGTACTGGTACCCATTTAAATACTGATACCCAGTTTATTCCTGAGAAAAGTTTTGTTCAAAGTTCATATTCGAAATGGAAATTAGTAGAGTGCACACAATTAGTATAGAGTGCACATAATTAGTATAGCGGGCACCTAATTAGCTTAAAGTGCACATAATCTGAACCCAAAGTTTAAGTTTCCTTAATTGCCCCAAATTAATGTTATCATTTTAATTTCAGCAATTTTGACTAATTGAAGAAAATAAAATCCTGGTTTAATAGGACATCAATAGCTTCCAGGTTTAGTATCACATTAATGACTTCCTGGTGTAAAGTGACATTATTCAAATCCTGTTTTAAGATGGCATTTAAGGCACACTAGTTTAACATAACATTAATGACATACAGAAGCTCGGTTAAACCCTGCAACTCATGAAAAAAAACCCACCTCTCCTGTAATAATTACCCAGCAAGAAGACAGAACTCTTAACTTGTCTAGATGACATCTAACGTGTCATGGTTCATATGAGACTAGTAATTTTTTTGCTATCGGATTTGTCAGTTCTGGTGCAATGGATGTTGTTCATTGAACAAAGGTTTGAGGTTAGCTTAGATGTAGAACTATGGCCTCTGACTCAGGTATGTTTTTATGAAAGTACTCCAGCTCTGTTCCCACTTGGCTGTAGCTGCTTTTCTCTCACTTTTACTCATGGCGCTGTACCTGGTTGGAGAAAATAAACAACCATCTTAAAATGTGCACCCTGGGGTGATAACACAATTTAAAATATTTTCATTAAAATTATTCTCAAATTTTTTAAAATCTTGCAACAACTAGTCTAAAGATTGAATTCGATGAATGTTGCTGAAATCAAGTGGACATTTTAAAAAAAATTTTCACTTTGGATACTTTTAGATCATGTAAAATTTAAACCACTGAGATGTTTTAAATAGCGGTATTTTATTTTTTAAAATTTAACCAATGCATTATAAGAATGAGTTTTCATTTTTTTATACACTAACAGATTAGACAGTTGCAACACTTGCCGGCAGACCCACAACCAAAGAACTAACGTTGCAGGCAAACCCATGCATACCTGATGGAGTTGATTGCCAGCTGCTTGAGGAATGTCAAGTCTGCGTCCTCGCTGGACATTGCCATAAAAGCCATGTAAAAATCATGGGAAAGGGGATATGACTCCCAGACGGAGGGATCGTCGGAACTTATCACGATGGGGTAGTCTTGTGCCAAGAGTCCATTCATAGGGTGGTTACGTAGATCCGTCACAAGCCTTAACAGCTGCGGGTGAAACATTTTATCAAACTTTAGAATTCACATCAGTTAGAAATCTTTAATGCAGAGTGAAAATAAAATCAGTATATTTGTATTTTTCTAACTCAAGGAGTATCAATTTTACTGGGAGCCATTTTTACACATTAAATTAAATAAGACATGAACTTCGGAGAATAAAAAATAAAACTCCACATTTTGTTTCCTTTGCTTATTTCATTTTTAAATATTTCCTAACCTGCAAATATGTGCCCCCAAATTTGTAATCCCTGGATGACTGCCGACAATGAAAAGTTGTCCTAATGTGGTTTTATTTTAAAATATTTTTTTTTTTTTTAAACATTGATTTTTCTATAGATTGATTTGCCGCGATCTCACAAATACTTTGTGGACCCCTAAGATTCACTAGAAACCAGTTTCAGAACCACTGCTCTCACACAAGCATCTTTGGGAAATTAATCAATTACCCCCATGTGGATTAAATTCCATTCCAACACTCCCAATTTCAGATACTAGTCAATATTTGTTACAGAGGGACAAGAAGACATTTGGCAAGAGACTGTAAATGCTAGACTAGAGAGGCAAGAAGACATTTGGCAAGAGACTGACTGTAAATGCTAGAGGGACAAGAAGACATTTGGCAAGAAGCTGACTGTAAAAGCTAGAGGGACAAGAAGACATTTGGCAAGAAACTGACTTTAAAAGCTAGAGGGACAAGAAGACATTTGGCAAGAAACTGACTTTAAAAGCTAGAGGGACAAGAAGACATTTGGCAAGAGACTGTAAATGCTAGACTAGAGAGGCAAGAAGACATTTGGCAAGAGACTGACTGTAAATGCTAGAGGGGCAAGAAGACATTTGGCAAGAGACTGACTGTAAATGCTAGAGGGGCAAGAAGACATTTGGCAAGAGACTGACTGTAAAAGCTAGAGGGACAAGAAGACCTTTGGCAAGAAACTACTGTAAATGCCAGCAGAAAGATGGATATTTTATTTTAAATCGACATTATGCCTATTTCTCTTAACATAATTGTTTGGTGGTGTTGGTTTTTTTTATTTAAAAAAAAAAATGTATCATCACCTTTTATCTGGGAAAAGATAACATGAAACATAATTTCTGATTTTATTGTTGAAAACTAGTTAAATTGAATAAACAGTTCCCACATAAACTATAGTAAGAATCTTGTACAGCCCCAAGGATACTTTGGCCTTGCATGCACCCCCTCAAAAATAAAGTGGTCTCATTCACTGACCTGGTTGGATATCGGGTTGACCTCCACGCCAATCTGCCTGGTTCGGACAACCTTAGCCAGGTTGGGATGTTTGGACAAAGCGAATCCATGTCCTATCCGGGTGGTGTTCAATAAAATTGCATCCACCAAATTTTTGTCGACCTCTGTACCTTGCCAGTCTGGAGGTCAAAGTTCATCTCTATCAAATACCAGACCTGTTTACCCTCAAACCCCTAAAATTTTACAATCTGGTCTCAAAATCGTACAATACAATATCTCTATAGTAAATAAATAAAACTACAAAATATTTCCCTATATTTTGTAAATGTCGCTGACTGGATCTTATAAAATACCGGTATGCCCCAAATCCAACGCTCCACTGCAGAACAGTTGGATCATCTATTTTATTTTAAAAACCATCTCTAGTTTTACAATCGCCGCGGTTCTGAGGAACAAAATAATTCTGTACCAAAACTACGTCACACGCTTGGTAGCAGTCAAAGGCGATGGCGGGTGAAGTTGTCGCTAGGGCGACCAATCCAAATATTACTGTTGACGCAGCAGCCAGCTAGTACACTGTGATCCCGTCAATACGATACGTCGGGGTTATTTATTTATATCCTTTGACACTCCCACCAATCCCCTACCCATGGGTGTCTCGTATGCCACAATTTCCGTAATCAACAACCCCACTCCCCAGTCCCCATGAGTCCTTTCGAAATATAATAAGGATGGTCCCAACTTTAAAAAAAGAAAAAAAAATCCAACCAATCGTTTTTCTCGTTCATATTCACTGCCAGATCTTCATTAGAGACGGCTAAAACGTCCAAACCCGAAAATTTAATAATTTTTTTTAAATCGGGGGAAAAATTTTTCCACCGGGTCTCTGAAAATCGTAGTTTTGGCGGGTCTTGGCGTACAATCGTAAAAGACATCTAAAAATCGTACATTGTACGCCAAAATCGTAAGAGTAAACAGGTCTGAAATACTGAAGTAAGGTTATGATATCAACACAGACATTGCAACAAGTTTATCTGGTCCTAATTTTTGCTCAAGCTTTTTTTTACACAGTAGTCGAGATCCACCCTCCACTTGGGGACTCACAACAAAGAGTTTCCAAATTAGACACATCTCCCCCCCCCCTCCCTTTAGTGCAGATAGAGTGTAAGGATGTGTGACCGAGCTTGTTGACTGGAGTTCAATCCCCATAAAAAGCCTAGACAAGCAAAAACATCACCAGGACCCCAGATGGATGGGCCTTGTTAACCTTGGATGGCAACTCATTTAAGAGAAGGCAAACTCTGAAATTGAACCCCAGAGATTGAGTCCCAAAGGCGGTATAGGAGGTCCATTGATATAATGAAAATTAGGACAACTCCACTCCAGTGATGTGAGTTACACAAAGAGCACAGTGAGACACACACACACACTGCTGGTCATCTGCTGCATCCTTGTCCCTTTCCAGTCTTGCCAGCGGATCAAATAGCCACGGACGGGAGAGTGAGGCAGATGAATTGACCAACTCTCCATCACTTTAAACAAAATCCACGCGAAGGACCAACAATAGTTAGTTCATTGCCGACAGTCATCCAGGAAGCAAACAAGGAAAATGAGTACATCATTTGGCTGTTAGAATGGCAGAGGAATGTGTAATGCCATGTTAAAGCAGAACTGCCATTGGCAATGCCCCCAAAGACAGGGGGCTGGCTCAGATGACTATCTCTCTTTACAACAAGACGCTGCAATCCCCCAGGTGGACCATGGCCCTCACATGCATCAATAACACAAGGCCATCTTGCAGAGGGAAATAGGGTAATACACATTCATCACAAATATTCTAATCCCAGACTATGTTCAAGTAATATACATGCCAATAATCCGGTGATGCCAAATAGCTCTGATGCCAAAACTCCCCGATACCAATAAGCCCTAATTCCAAAAATCCCAGATACCGATAATCCCAGATACCAATAATCCCAGACGCCAACACTCCCTAGACTAACCTGTTTCACCAGCATGGAAGAAATAGGGCAGGTCATAAGGGGGATCCATCCTGGAGGGGTACAGCAGGGCGTCCAGGTAGTAGATCAAAGGGTTGTACCAGACCTCATCTGAAACCAGGTCGTATCCTGCCAGGAAATCGGGATACAGCTGCTTGAGAGCCACAGCGTTCTTCACGTTCTCCGCAATGACCGACACATTACTGTTGCTGTGGGATACACAGGACAAACAATGAAATGACTCTTTACAGTTGATACAGGACAAACAATGAAATGACTCTTTATGGTAGTTATAGGATTGTTTTTTTTTTAATATACACTAAATGATCTACTGTTAAATATACACTAAATGATCTACTTTTAAATATATACTAAATTATCTACTTTTAAAAATACACTAAACTTTTAAATATATACGAAATGATATATTTTTAAATATACACTAAATGATCTACTTTAAATATACACTAAATGATCTACTTTTAAATATACACTAAATGATCTATCAGAAATGAAAAAACAAAAACAGTTTTATTAAAAACATTTTTAAAAACTCAATTGAAATTTTAAAAAAAATTAAGTTCTCATTACTAATAGTTTATTTAGCGTATATTTTAAAAAATAACCAAGCCTCATTATACAGATCTTATTAAATTATTAAATAGTTGGGTTTTTTTGGGGTTTTTTTGGTAATCATTACCGAATGCCACACATGATTACTTTAGCTCCTATAAAATTTGGATTCACTTTCTTAAATTCTTCAGTCACGTTCAGCAGTAGGTTCAAGCCAAATTCAGAATCGTACACTTTCCCTTCCAAGTCATATAGCTAAAAAAAAATGAATATTATATTGTTTTAAGTCATGGTTGATAAGAGTTACAGCATTTTAAACTCTTGGTGGCTAGGGTTTTCTATTTTAATATTTTTTAAAATGATCACAATTTTTAAAGTGTTTTTTGTGTGTGTTAAACTATAAATTCATCTTTTGTTTTGGGTATCTTCATTTATTTTTTTAAAACATTTTTTGGAGGGGTGGGTGGATTCAGTTATTTTCTGGTAAAACCACTTTAGTTAAATGCATCAATCACCCAGTAAACCACTGCCTTTGCCGTTACATCCAGTTTCATATGTGCCTTTTCGTTAAGGGCTCTTGGATTTTTTTCATCTCAGAAAATGGGGGATAGGCCCACGGACCCTTTCACTTGGTACTGGTTCTATTTTATTTTTTTTCCTGGTTTCCTGGGCCAGGAAAGAAGTTTTAGTTATGGTCTCTTGCTTGTTCAACAACTGTCTCCTCACTGTCGCTAAACCTTTAAGGGTTCTTTGGATCAATATTAGGACAAATCCTATTTGAATTTTTTTTTAAATAATAATTTTTTTTAAAACATTGAAAAAATAGGATTTGCCCCAATGTTTTTAATTTACTGAAATCCTAAATTTTAAAAAGAATCCAAGAATCAAATAAATGTATTCTCTGACTCTGAACAACATGCAAGTGAATTGTTACAGATGACCCATTCAAAATGAAAGAAGAAGAGAAAAAGGACTTTTCAGACCAAGTGATTCATGTTACTCACACCCCACAGCTGTGCTCTCAGCTCCAAATACTGAACATTGTCAGCACTGAACTCTTCCAATGTTCTTCTGTAGTAGTCTCTAAACACTGGGACATAGTAGATAAGGTAATACACCTGGAGAGATAAGATCATCACAGCGTTATTTAACATTCAAGACTTAGAGTCATCAGTTTCTTAACTGAACAAGAAATATACTAGCATTATTACTTGCTCACTCATCATTATATACACACCTGACCTATTTTTACTTGCTCACTCATCATTAACTACACACCTGACCTATTTTTACTTGCTCACTAATCATTAACTACACACCTGACCTATTTTTACTTGCTCACTCACCATTTACTACACACCGGGCTTATTTTTACTTGCTCACTCATCATTAGCTAATTAGCTACACACCAGGCCCATTTTTACTTGCTCACTCATCATAAACTACACACCTGACCTATTTTTACTTGCTCACTCATCATTAACTACACAGCTGACCTATTTTTACTTGCTCATTCATCATTATTTTTAGTTCAACAGACTTCATTCAGGGATTTCAAAAAAACCTCTGACGGCTCACAACTTTGATGATTCATATATGTTTGTGACCAGGGTATTCCACGACACATGCTTGATTCCTGCTTCTACTATTTATATGGCAGTAGCAGCAAGGCAATAGCTCTTAGAGGCCAACTATATGTTCCCTGGGTTGGGAGAAGTGGCATGCTAAGGCCATAAATATACAAAGTTCAGATAACGGTAACAGTGGGACCAGGAAACTATGCAGGATGCTTGTCTAAGCGAGTTTTGGCACGTTTTTTTGGGGAAACATTGGAACAAGATATGTTAAGTTAAGGCTTGAAATGAAAAGACGGGAAAATTAAAATGACACAGTCCCTCGTATATTATTCTTTCTTGGTAACAGAACAATCAACCATTGGAAATGTTCAGAGGGAAATAATGAGATGGGTTACTTTGGTCACCCTTAGCTTTAAGTTTTTGACTAAGATTCTTTCAGAATTATTTTGTGGGCAAAGATGAATAGCCACTTATGAATAGATTAAATATTGGCATATTTTTATAAGTAATATACCATTTTGTAGATTAATTAATTTTTCTTTTAAATAAATCTAAAACAAATTTTTGTTTATATTGTTAAATTATTATTTACAAGAGAAAAGCGTTCAATTTTTTTTTTTTTAATGTGTAAACTTAACGATTTCTGTTTCCAAAACATTTTACTATTATTTACACACCTAATAATTTTTTGCAATCACATCCACACCAAATTAGAACAGGTTCCCCACATTTAGACAAATCCACATTTGAATAAACATATCTCCAACCCACATTTAGACCAATTCACATTTGAATAAACATATCTCCAACCCACATTTAGACCAATTCACATTTGAATAAACATTTCTCCAACTTATTTACAGTATGTTTACTTTTGGTAACCTTATCGCTAGTTGCCATGAAAAATACTTGCCCTCCAAACACACCTCATGATTTAAAAAGCTTTATTCGTTAGCTGTAAATTTAAATATGTATATTTATATATGTGCTGAACATGAACATGTGCAATGTAATCCAAAAATACATGGTTTGATCACATTTTATTTTGAATATGCCACATGGTTTTTTAATTAACATCCTGTTGGTAAATTAATATCTCAAACCAAAATGAAAGTAAGAGTGTAAATATATTACTAGTTTCACCACGAAACAAACTGTTGCGCTCACAGCAGCTCATGGCCATGATAGAAGGAATGTTTGGCACCACCAGTGGAGTGGCTTCTGCTAACGAACCTGTTAAGGACTTAAAAATCACAACTTACTTTCTGGAAACAAAAGTTAACAATTTCATTTAGTGAAAAGAAATTGAGAAAACTACAAATGTTATTTACAACGTTGTGAGATTAAAAATGTACGCACTTGCATAAAGAATTTTTGAAACCTGATCCAGGCCTTGTCATTGTTTGGGTAAGCTTCCACGGGGTCAACCTCCAACATGGTCAAATTTTTTTTGAGACTGGGAACAGGAAATGATAGGTCAAGAAGTGCAGCGGAAAAGGTTGAATCGAGTTATTGACAGTAATTGTCTTCTGTAGGTAGTGAAATGGGCAGACAAGGCACAGAAGCTGCTTTACAGTTATTTAACCTAATAGGCTAAACCCAGATACATGACTTTAAACAAAAATACAGTCACATAAATTACACCAACATTACAGCTCTATGACTTACACTGACATTAGCTACATGACTTGAACAAACATTACATACTGACACCAACACTACAATTACATGGCTTACACAAACATTACATACTGATACCAACACTACAATCACATGGTTTACACAAACATTACATACTGACACCAACACTACAATCACATGGCTTACACAAACATTACATACTGACACCAACACTACAATCACATGGCTTACACAAACATTACAGTCACATGACTTACACCAACATTACAATCATCTGACTTAACCACCATTACATACTTACACCAACATCAGTCATATGACTTACACCAACATAACATACTTACACCAACATCACTGTCACATGACTTACACCATCATTACATACTTGCACCAACATGACTTACACCAACATTACAGTCACATGACTTACACTGACATTAGTCATGTGACTTACACTGACATTACAGTCACATGACTTACATTAACATTATATACCTACACCGACATTACAGTCACATGACTTACACCATCATTACATACTCACACCAAAATTACAGTCACATGACTTACACCAACATTACAGTCGTGCATTAACTTACAGGGCGTCAAATGCCTGTGGAGATGAAGCTGCTGCTCTCTCTTCTTTGACAGATTTCCAAGGACAGTCTGCAGGATTGGACACAACATACACAGCATTAGAGGAATGTAGGTAAGGTAATTCGTCTGATTTTAAGGAATTATTTTTAAAACTAATTAAAAAACAACAATACATTTTCTAATAAGAATTTTGTTATTAGGATCCTCTACTGCCATTAGCTCTGGCTGTCCCCTCAAAAATGGATATTCCCACTAGCACCTCTCTACTACGCCTGGTGGTGGCATGTCAGACATATTTTCATGGATAAGGCTCGTTTGGGGGCCTAGCAAGTAATCCGACATACAGCCATCTGCAAAAATGTTCTACTATTCTAGCGAGAACTAGCAAGTAATCTGACATGCAGCCATCTGCAAAAATGTTCTACTATTCTAGCGAGAACTAGCAAGTAATGACATACAGCCCTCTGCAAAAATGTTCTACTATTCTAGCGAGAACTAGCAAGTAATCTGACATACAGCCATCTGCAAAAATGTTCTACTATTCTAGCGAGAATGAAATGTTGTTTTAAGAAATTAATCCATGTTCTTTTAAAAAGTTACAAGAGTTCAAAGGTCAGCATGCCTTTCCAAGCTCATAGTATATGCGACAACATGCTGTGTTTACTAACTAGACTAGCAAGTTTAGATGGTGAAACACTCGAACAGAGCGTTGTAGAATTTATTGAAACTAATGTAGAAAGTAATAGTGATGGATCTTTTAATTGAATTTATTTCTGAAACAGGCTATAAAAATTAATACTGTTAAATCAGTAGATAATAAAACTGGTTGTTAATGGTGACCTGAGCGATGGCCGGTGAATTTAATGACTCCATGTAAACTCGTCGGGTACCCGGCACAGAATTAGAAAAACTTTTGTTCATATCATATTTTCAGGTGCTCATTAATAACATCATGAGTTATGCCAACAGACTGTCTCAAATTGTATTTATAAGCTTTTTTTATAAGCACACTTTCTTAAACCAGCTCTTGTCTTCTGCATAGAAAATGATGCATGTTACGTACTCAAACCACTGAACACAGTTAAAAATTAATGCCACACTTTCAAAGCTGACAATTGACAATTCATCAGTGCATACGGCACCCACGGACAAAACTAAAATTGTGCCCCTTTCCATATTTTTTTTTTACTGCCATCCATCCGTCGATGTGTAACTTTGGATTAGTTTCCTTCTCTTAGACAAGTTCCCATCCAAGGTTAACGGGCTCCATCCACCCGGGTATGCTGGTGTCATCTTTGCTTGACTTGGTCTTTTGTGGGGATTGATCCCAGACCACAAGCTTGGGATTAGGGATTTTGAGTTTACACCACTCGACCACCCAGCCACCCTATTTCTTATATTATCGAAGAGTTATAACCTGTGGGATGAGATTTCTAAGGCCAGCAGTTGGTACAGCAAGAAGGAACCACATTCAGAACCTGGAAATAAGACAAATGAACCGACAACAAACTATCTGGATTGACCACCTGTTTTGAATGCCTTTCCACCAACCTGCACAGAAGCAATAGCGGGTATGCCTCTGCTGCTCAATAGTGGGCAGTGACTCGGATTAACACTTTCCTTAATGAATAAACCTATTCATCTAACTGCTGTGCCAAAAGTATTAGATTTAAATAAAAAGCCAAACGTTCACCTGGATTTGGTGGAGGAGTTTTGAAAGCCTTGAAGAGGATGTAACTGTCTGGGTCAACGCACATGTAGATATTGTCCCTGTATGTGGCATTCTGAATCAACCAATCAATGCTGGCCCCCGACAGGTCATGAACATGAAGAGCGCCACCTGTTGGAGAAATATGAACAAGCTTCCAAACCAGAATGTTTTTTCTCTTACAAAGATAGAGTCTACAACTGTCGGATGAGATTATTCCATCTACCAACATAAACATAGTATTAAATATATCCCTTACTGCCTGAATTAAAGTTTGAATTTAGCTCAATAAATTAACTAATTAATGTACAAATCCTATTGTAAATGAATAATTTTGACTTTTTTTACAATTTCATTTTTTAAAAAAATGTTTTAAGCTGGCATCAGTATTTAAATATGAGCTGTTTTCTCTTCAATACTTCGTCATGCAGGACAGGTTTATGTTAAACTGAACCAACAGTTAGCTTTCTATTTAGTGCAAAATCTCTAGAATTTATGAAAACTTCACGTATGCAAATATGTTTAAAGAAAAAACTGTTGGACCATGTGTTCCAACTACTTACTCTAACCAGTATGACAAACTCATATCTTGATCCTCAATTATTGAGACACAAAAAAACTTGTGTAGATAAAACAATGTAATTATGGTTACACAGAATACAAATTCAAACGTTTCAGATAATGCCTTTATCAATACAAGAAAAAAAAATTGTTTAAAACTAAATTGAATACAAATTCAAACTTTCAGATGACTTTATCAATACAACAAAAAAAAACATTGCATAAACTAAATTTACATGATATGTACATGTATCCTACCTAACAAAGAAAGAAAGGAAAAGAATACGAATGGGCACAAGTCCCTTAGGACAATAAAGCTCATGGACAGTGGAAAGAAAGTGGGTGGAAGTGTAACATGAAAAACTCATTGCAGCTTTGTCAAATTGTGAGTTTGTATATACGGTACCGTAAAGAGTCAACGTACCAAATCTTTTTGTTAATTTATTTTCCATATAAATTCTGTACCTATCAGGTATATTTACTTGCATACTTATATAGTTGGCTGCACCTTACATAGAAATGCACAAACATTCAAAGGTTCTCACCTTTTGGCATCTGACGTATCAACTTCAGCAGGGTTGTGTTTTCAACTTTGGGCTTGACTTGGTAGAAGCTCAGAGATGGGATGTAGGGCGTGCGGTTAATACGACTATCGTCCATCATTTTGGTCTTCTCCTGAAATTGGCCAAACAGGTGAACTCTTCATCAACCAGCTCACTTTTGTTGTATTTCAACACAAGTTGACATCAAAATTATTTTATTTTTATTTGTTAAAAAAAGTTAACTACACATAAACATTATGATATGGTGTGCGTGAATATAAAATTATCTTGTCTTATGTGACTGACACACGTATTGAATAAATTTTGACTGTTTTAAGGTAAGATAATGCCTATGGTAATGACTCTTTACTAATAATATGTAATTTGGAGAGTTTAGAGTGGGGGAGGTACAATTGGTGTGTTCGGTGGAGGGGGGAGGTGAAATTAGGGTGTGGAGGGTGGGAAATGGGATTGACGCGTTGGAGTTGGGTAGGTGGGGTTGGGGTGTTGGAGTGGTGGAGGCTGACTGTGGGAAATGAGATTGAGGTGTGGAGTGAGGAAGAACTGTAGAAGAATGACAGAGCCACTACCATGGTCCTCAATTAAAAAATATAACAGTAATATTTGTTTTTCAAAACTGACCGCCATTAATATTTTGTTGACCGCTTGTTCCTCGGGCTGAAGGACTAGTCTACCTCCCAACCTCATCGCATCCTCGTCAGCTATCATCTTCTCCCTCTGCTTCATGTAGTCAGGGTCATCGGTCAGGCTGTAGGGGCGCCGTATGGTTTCATCCAGTAAATGCCTCTCAGAATCCCAGGTCAGCTTATATGTATGGGCTGAGTTGAGGACCACCACGAGACAGGCAATGACGAGCTTCATTGTGTCCGACCTGTCAGAAATGCTGAAATAATAATTGTTCAATGACTCCAGCTGCACAAGTTTTCTTTAACTGTTTTGGTGTTGACATGAACTTGTCAGTGTGAAACTTTAGTGGCCCAGCAACTTATGTCACTTGAAAGACCAGCTGAGTGTGATCTCATGGCCCACTTCACAATTTCTGATCCTATTTATAGCCTGTGATTAAAAAGGAAAAGTGTTGAGACAACCACTACCCCAGTTTCCATATCTGTGTCATAGATATTTAGAGACATCCAAGTCACAGAGTTATAATACTGGTACTCTTAAATAACTTGTCAGTTCATCTTGTCCAATTTATATTTACTAAGGCATCAATAAGTGTAAAAAGACATTACATCTCAGTTGACAAGCATGATCTAATTTAATAAAATATTTGTCACAGTCATAAAAAATAAATAGCCTTAAAATTAGAGAATTAACAAAAAAAAGGGTTCAAAGTTATAAACATGCACTCATGTGAACCCTTAAGTGTATATTTCAGGTTATGGTTGAAATGATCAATTGAATCTGTTTCTCTGATTATGTTAATGTGCTTGATAAAGCAAACTAAGGTCATTGAACTATCTTTTGAATCTCCTGAAGAATTACTTCTCCCACGTGGATTTAAAAAAAAATTATTTGTATCGGATAACTTCCAATGATAACCTTGTATCAGTGTTACATTTTCTCATGGCCCGGTTTTTATTGTACTACTTTAATAAGACTTTGCCCCGGTCATTATGGGTGGATTTCACCACACAATATGTTTTGACATGTAATCATACTTTTTACAGTTGTATGTGGTTAGAAAAATTGGAAACATGATCTTGATTTGAAATAACCATTGCTGCCTAGATGGCTGTACCGTACAACCTGATTGTCAGTTAAATTGGTTACCAAATATTTTTTAGAAGATTTTCAGTTAAATTATTGCTCCACTTATCGCTCAAGCCTCGGCACGAATGTATAAGATAAACTATGTATTCAGATAAAATATGGTCTATAACCAGGGCATCTGCAAGAAAACAGGAGAGATCATTACTTTCACACAGTTAGAAAAGGATTTTCCCCAAACCATATGGGTTAATGAAGGCATGTTTAAAAATAGCATGGAAGATAGATTTATATTTTGTTTATCTCTCTCATAAATAAGAAACTCTGGTCCTCATTAGTTAGAATTAGGTGACCTCTGGTTGAATGGACAAATCAGTGCAGCATCATTAAGGAAATAATATTTTGAATAACTGGTATGGATGGAAAGTGATGGGGTGCAGAATATGTGCCTCTAATATTCTTTAAATCATTTTAATGATAATTTTGTTTAGTTTTATTTAATTCTTTTTATTAGCATGATATGAGACAATTACATTTTTTTTTTATATTTCCAATCTGGTTCTCAAGTTCAGATTTAAGGTTCCTTTTTTTTAACAAAAACTCGAAACAGTACACAAATAAATATGTTTTCAAATAGTTTATGGGTTCTAAAATGTTATCGTTTGCCTCATTCCATTATTCAAAATTAACAAGAATGTTAACAAAAAACAAGTTTCTGTTGTATCAGGTGTAATCTTAAAAGCTTAATCTTTGCAACTGTCTAGTTTGATTATCCTATTGAACATTTTTTCTTTACTATTAAATACAGACAAGGCCACACATACTTAGTAAATGACATACAAAAGAAACGGAAAGAACACTAAATGAAATTTTTCAATTATTTGAAGAAATATTAAAATCTCTATGTGCAAATGTCAAGACCTTTTAAAGCAGTGGTTCGCAACCTTCCTAATACTGCAGCCCTTTAATACAGCTCCTCATATTGTGGTGACCCCACAACCATAAAATTATTTTTGTTGTCACTTCATAAATATGTTTTCCGATGGTCTTAGGCGACCCCTCTGAAAGGGTCGTTCCACCCCCAAGGGGTCGCGACCCACAGTTTTAGCAACACAAAGGACATTTTTCAGCACATTTATAGTCCATACAGCTGAATAAACTATTTTAATTTCACAATTTGTGCATATTTTAACATAGGTTAGGGTCTTAAAAATAAGTTAGAAACTTCTTCATATTTCAAAAATAAAAATTCTATAAATCTTTTTTTTTTTTAAATATGTATCTATCTTTGCAAAATACTCTGAGAAATTATTTTTTTATTATACAATGTGTTCTGAATGAAAACAGTAGTTATTGAGCCATTAAGGTCACAAAGAAAACTGAATAAAAATAATGTTTTTATTATAAATTTGGAATTTTTATAGCAAATTTAAATTATCTAAGGTGTTAAGAATGTTTTTGCAAAATAAATTTAAACAAAGCAATTAACAAGTAGGCCTAGTATTATTTCAGTATTGTGTAACACACTTTTACTATAAAACAACTTTTTAATGACATTCAATTTTTTTCTAAATTTTTTCTTTAAATTTAAAAAGAAAGTTTCCATTTAGAGCTTACCTTAACCAATACATATTGGATATTAATGATATGTAAAACAGCTAACCAGATTTACTTTCAAGACACAGTCTTGTTATGGTCTATTTTATATGCACGCTTTTTAAATCAGTAAACCAGACCTGTCTACTCTTACGATTTTGGCGTACAATGTACGATTTTGAGGTGTATATATTATATATACTGAATGTTTTTTCTTTCTATTAAGAAAATGTATTGAACGATTTTGTAATGATATTGTACGATTATGAGAGTTTGAGGGTAAACAGGTCTGGTAAACTGAACTGGATTTGAAGAAAAAAAAAAAAAGAAAAAAAACAGGAACATTGAATTTCAATGATTAGAACCTAACATAATATTTTTAGCTGAGATTTGTCATCTATTCAGAAATATGTACTTGCACTCGCATGATAAGTATTATGGAAAATTTCCAATCAACTAAATCTCAAAAAAAAATATTTTTAAACCTGTTGACTTTCCATTTAAAATCCTGGTCAATAAATTTTTTTTTTTTACAAAATTTTACTTCCTTAAACAATGACTGTAAAGAAATGAATTAAATGACTCAAATAAAAATGTTCATAACAAAAAATCAAACATAAACCAATGCAAGGCCTATTTATATACTAGTGGGCAATAACTTAAAAATGTGATGTTGTAAAATAATTCTAAGAGTTTACAAAGAATATGCTGGCTTTGCTTTTAAAATACATTTTTTTTTAAAATCTGGCTTTATTAGAGAAACATAAAATTTAAAAAAAACAACTCAGCCTGAAGTAAGCTGAAATTAAATAATTATTAAATATAAAAAAAAAAATATGGGCTCCATCAGAATCAACTTGAATATCTTAACAAAATAAAAAATAATAATTAACTATGTGATATTTTAATTAAAAAACACTGATGTTCTACAGAACTAAGACAAAGGGATACAAATTCAGAAGATTCGTGTTTATCAGGACTCCTATTTTATGACACAAGTTCAAGTTAGGAGTAAAACTTAAAATTACTGTGATTTTTAAAAATTATAATTGGTCTAAGTCTAAGCATAATCATTTAGTTCTTGAACAGTTTTATCTGTGTAAAAAATATTACCAAACTCAGTGAATTAAAAACAGGTCTTTAAATCAATTTAAATTTAATAAACTATCCTACTAAGATGGTCTTACTGTTAACAAGGTACTCTTTTGAGTCTGAATGAGAACAGAAACTAATTCCTAATATTATGACTTTTATTTTCATTTTCAAAGAAATCTGAATTAAGTTTTCCTTTTTAAAAGAATTTTAAATTTAAGAGGAACTTGGAAGAAAGGATCAACAACTTAGACTTAACAAGATCTTACAGTTACAGTTTTCAAAATGCCTTGCCACTTAATTATTAGTTGACTTAACTTTAACTTATCAATTCATTTAATCTTTATCATTTTATTTTACCATTATTATTATTAGTGATCTTATATTAGATAGCGCGGTACCATTGTATTTTATTTCTTTTTTTGTATTTGTAAGTTGTATGATGTATGACTATTAAAAAATAGTAATAGGCCTCCTAATACTAATACTTTGTACAAAAAAACAAGGCATAAAAAGGCTATAACTATAGGCATAACATAAGTCATAAGTGATAAATCATAACTTAGGACCTAATAAGTTTAGTCTTATTAAGTAAGTCACGTTAAGTAGGCCAAAAAAAATTTTTTTTTAATTTTTGAATGAATGATGAATGAATATTAAACTTAATTAGATCTATATATTAATAAAGTAAAATTAAAAGATAAATAACTTTAGAGTACTAAGACTATGACTATACTCAACCGTCTCGAGGCTATTTAGGCGTCTGCCGATCGCTTATAGTCGGATAGTCCTGTATTATATTATTCCCTTTGTTAACTTTGAGAATTTGTAATTTCAGTTTCTTCTTCCTGGGACTGCGACCGCGACTTCACTCCGACAGTGAAGTTTTTTAATAATGATTTCCAAGTTATTCAATTGATTTCTTTTGCCGATTTGCCCAGTCATTGTTTAATGGTTACTGTACTGGAACGTTATTTTTCGGGGGCTCCTTTTCGGATCTTCACGTGACCGAAAATTCCTCGAAATTCAAATTATAGGACCAAATAGTGTATGTATTGAATTGGATTGCTTGCTTTGGTAAGCTTTACTTTGACTTATGAGTCTAACTATACTGAACAAACGGGTATGGTAAAGGGAGGCTACTAAAGTAATTGTTAAATTTTTCAATTAAAAAATGGAAGTAGCCTCCCGTGGTTGTTTTCTTTTTAGCACCTTGAGGGACAGCCAACCTGCGGCTCGCCAAGTGAAATACTGCGGCCCACTCTTCGTTCAATCGACAAAGACGTTTTAAAAAAAAGTTAATTAAGAAAAATATAAAATGATATCACATTGTTCAAGTTTTACTTTTTGTTATTTTGTATTTTATTATGTGCGTTAAATTTAAAGAATAGATCAACAAGATAAGGTGTAATGGCATGCGGCCCTCGAGGGGTTTACTCACTACCCGCAAAAGTAGGCGCGAAGAATTTTAATCCCTGGTCCCTGTCCCCTTTCTTGGTTATGACAACATCGGTTATGTGATTTATTATTATTACGTTTGTGTTAAATTAAAATAGGCCTGAATATCAAATTTTAAATACCTCTTTATTTATATAAATAACGTAGGCCTAGGCCTATATATCTGTAGGTAAAGCCGTCGGGTGTGCCTCAAATGTTTAAGGGGCCTAAAGTTGAGAAGTGTTGGGTGCATGGGCACAGTGGGCACTTGCCCAGAGCCCCGCACTTGGGGGGGGGGGGCTTGCTTCTATGAGACTCACTCTTATAAAGGCATTATGTCGCAAATATTGTTAATGAATATTAAAAAGTTTGGGAAATTAAATTAGATTTAAAAATCAGTGGACAGCATGTTTCCCAATTTTAACCAACGATTTTATCGGCACATTCCAAAATTAATATTATAAAGGCGAATCACAAGTTGGATTCTTTTTAAACCTTTAAAGGGGAATAACTCTCGTCAAAACGTTTTACTTCTCCCAGATTAACTTTATTATTTTTCGAGCATTTGTTTACAATCAAGTTAGACAAAGATGTTGGCCCAGGGTGGTATTAACCCTATATACGCCTCTGCTCAGTAGTGAAATTAGTGGATAAAAATCTATCCTAGCACCAGTTCAAGTACTAATGAATTTAATTAGCATTATATAAGGAATATGTAGGTCACCAATGAATAATTCTTTTTAAAAGTAAATTTTTTTTTTTTTTTAAACACAAATAACTTTATATTTTTTAACAGAAAAATATTTTGTATTCTGTGTCTGAAAAACATATTTAGATGATAAATAGAACCCAGCAGTCACCGTATGTCTGAGCTCTAGGCAGAAATATATAGGCATTTAGACATATTTTGTGATCACTGTTTAAAGCTCAAAGTCATGTTCATCCTACATTTTATTAATTGCACCATGGCTATTGATCATTTCCCGATATTCGTTTTTAGCGAGGCACAAGTCAGTCTGAAAGGAAAGAAAAATCCATTTTAAACGGATTGCTGCTATTACTATAGAAATACTTGTAAACAATGAATATATTTCTAGGTGTTTAACCCCTTAAGCGGGAATATAAAATTAATTTTATAATTGGAACACAGAAGAGAAAAAGAGCTGAGGAGACAAGAAAAACGGCTAAACTTGCAAAATTAACATCCAATCAAAATATCAGAGACTAATACTGCTCCTCAAAATAAAGTAGTGTCATCTACATCCTTTATTGGATCCAGCTATCTAGTTTCAGACAATACCATTACCTATTTCCTCTGCTGGGGAAATTGTAAAAACTGAAACACACAAACGTGTGTCAGAAAACGTGAGTGTGATTCACCACAAAGATCGCGGGCTATGGACTATTAAGAACACTTTTACAGTTGAGTACTAGATTCGCCGTGGGCCACCATTTTGTCAGAAAATCATGACTGCAACCTTTCAAAGGTGTTTAGCTCTTTTAATTAATCAAAGACCATAGGTCAAAAACAGAAGCACTGCCATGAAGTTCTGACTCGTGGGGTTTATGTCGTTCGCTTTCTTGCCTCCAGAGGTTTGGATCAAACTAGGGCCAATAAGCAATGGAAATTGTTTAGGTATCTTAGAGTTATTGAGTGAGTGTAATCCTTTTTTTTGGAGGAGCATCTCAAACTATAATGGAAATGCTGGGAAGGGTAATACATCATATCTGTCGGCAAATATTTGAGAATAATTTATTGATCTAATGGGGCAACATTTCCTTTGTCCTATTCTGGAAGAAATAAAAGAGTCAAAGTATTATTCAATAAGTTATGATTCCACTTCAGACATTTCACACATTGATCAACTGAAATTTACGGTCCGGTAATTTCGGGGATGTAAGTCTGTGGGACGTTTTATCAAGTAAATGTCCATATTTTACCATGGAGCAAAGTTTCTAACATACACTGTTTTGTATCAAAGGATCTAGCAGGCAATGTTTTGGATTTCCTGAATGATTTTCCTGAACCAAATTCCGCCTTCAATTTGCCGTGGTCAATCGTATGACAAAGCTTTAAATTTATATCTCTATGGGCACTACACTGGCTTGCTGCGTCAACTGAACGAATAAAACTTAGCTGGGGTCAAAAGCATACCCTCAGTACAAAACCAAAACTGGAACTCGAATTACATTATTTTATGTTGGGTGAAGGAGGTTGAGCTGTTGCTGGCCCTGGTCGCCTAATTTTGGCGCTGATAGATGCACTGCCCAATGTCGTAGCTAGGGTTAGTGCCGCCCTGAGTAGGCCAAGATTTTTTCCGCTCCCTTCCACGATAAAAACTCCACAATAGGCCGACAATGCCACCCACAAAAAAATGAGGAAAAAATTGCTCCCCGAAGGGAGGACCTCCCACAACCCCCCCTTCTACGCCCCTCGCACCGGTACCCCCCCCCCCCCCACAACCCCCCTTTCTACCCCCCTGGCACTGGTCCCCCCCCCCCCCACGTCCTCCCGTCCGCGCTCAACCCCCGGAATAAATTATCTGAAAGGAACACTGGTCGTGTGTCTTACGGCGCCAACCCCTGTAGCAGTGTCACAGGGGGGCAGGCATTCAACAAGTGAAAGCAGTTGATAAGCTCTGGCCACTCTCAACAGTTCCGATACGACCACTGTCTAGCAGGCGACAGCAGCGTTGCCTACCCATAACCCCCCTCCCCTTTTCCTGCCCCACATCTGTCACATAAAAATTGGACCAGGGTGGGTGGGGGGGAGTAGCTGGGTGGGGATAGGGCCTGTTAACTTCTAGCCTGGATACGGTCTGTAGTGAAATGAAACCGTATAAAGATTCCGCATTGAATCAATGTTTTATTTGTGTGCGTGTGTGTTTGTATTTTGTGCGTGCACACCTTGAACACACACGGAGATATAATAGGGAACATAGAGCTTTACTACATTAACGGCTGAACTGTAACCTTTTCACGTGAATTGGTAAGCAGTTTTTTTTTTTTAAACAAGATGTCAAAATGTACTTCTGGCTGGTCTAAGTCATATCCATATTGATATTATTATATGTATAGGAAATCTAAGAAATAAAAAGCACACGGTAAGGCAAATCTCAATTAGTCGAGACAACGAAGGTGTTATATATATATATATTTATATATAAGAAATCTAAGAAATAAAAAGCACACGGTAAGGCAAATCTCAATTAGTCGAGACAACGAAGGTGTTATATATATATATATTTTAATTTATGTATTTATTTATTTTTATATATTTTAATTTATTGTGTTGATTTTTGTTTCCTTATGAACAAGAATAAAGATAACAAATAACACGAAGGTAGAATGAATAAGTAAATTGTAACGTCTCGTGGCCATGAAATTATCTCGACTCGTAGCAAATTGGAATGTACTGAGTTCCAGAAAAAAACAACAGAATAAAGAAATTAAACTAAGAATTAGAGCTAGAGGAAATAGAAGAGTCGCAATTACACGTTAATGGATTTAATTAGAAAAGGGGTGGCGCAGAGTGCTTGTGACATTTAGACGAGTTAAAACGAGGCGGGACATTGTTTGTTTCGCCCGAGTTTGTGAAGGTGTTCGCTGAGTCTATCAGATCATCATCACCCAGTTTCACCAAATCAGCATGTTCGACAACGATGGCAGTAATTGCGTAGATGACTAAATTAATCGTATAATTATAAATGCGGTCATCTGAAAGTTAATGTAATAGTTTGACTAGCATATGAGCAATTAAAATCTTAAATATCCAATACGTTCACAAGGCTTAGTGGAAAAGGGTGGGGTACACATTAAAATAGCAGGTATCTTGCATCTCGTTTGAGGACAATGGCAGAGGATGGGATGGGAGGAAAAAATGTGTCTTTGATAAAGACAATAATGCCTTAAAAAGAATACATGTTTGACTATTAGATTACGGTAATATTAAAAGTAAGGATGAGTTTAGTTTGGTCGTTATTGTCTATGACGTCATAGCGCGTGATGTTATGGACACGTTGATGGCCTGATGACTGGATGGTCGTGAGATCAAGTCTGTCAAAACAGAACATGTGGAGCTCAACCCCCAGCCCCCACCCCCACAATACTCTGAAAAGCCAAACAACTCATGCTGTCCAAGTGGATGGGACTCATCAACCTTGGATGGGACTCATCAAACTTGGATGGGACTCATCAACCTTGGATGGGACACATCAGCCTTGGATGGTAGCTCATCTAAGAGAAGGAAACTCTGATGGAAAACCTCCACTGATGTGTGTTTACAAGTCCGGGGTTAGAGGCTAAAGGAAATGGAAGCCCATGGGTGATTAAAAATTGACTCATTATAAATTCCGGCAACTCACTCGATGCCTCTGGTCTCTTGGGTTCACCAGCTTTGTGGAGATGGAAGAAAAGTGGGCCCGGGGGGGGGGGGGGGGGGGGATTGGGGG